AAACATCTATTTCATTTTCGTACCTGCACCCGTTTTTCTTGATATGTGATTGTACTTGTTGGCGTGCTATAAATTTTAATTAAGGATTATCTATATTTTTGTTTGTTGAGTTATCTCACATAGCTTTTCCTTGTCCACCATTTCAGGTAATGTGACTCGAGACGTGGGAAACTAAGGGGAGTGACGAGCAAGAATCCTAGCCATTGTATTTTGGATGCAGATTTTGAGTTGTAGATTATTTTTTGTAAGTTAGATTTTGTTTTGAAATATTGATATAAGTTTACGTGAACTGTTGGTAATGAATTTAGCAAGTTTCGAGTCTTGTGCATTTGTGAGATTCTCTTACAAATGTACGGTGTCTGTTTCACACCCAGATTTAGGCTCTAAGGTGTGACAGATTTTGCCATCAAATCCTTAAATAAAGAGAAACTACAATTTTCTTCAAGGGATGGCGGGAAGAAATCTGATTTTAAAACCTAAAATTCTTTCAAAACTAATAATAAAAAATTAAAGCGTATTTATATTTATATTTTAAATCATTAAGTTTTAATTTAAGATCTGATTTTTAAACAAAAGAAGTTCATTTTTTGTTTTATTTTTGAACTTAAATAATTGAAATTTATCATAAACACTTTGAAAAAAAAAGTTAAATAACATTTTTTTTTTCTCTTAGACCAATCGAAATGTTCACTTGCCTATTTCAATTCTAACACTACCAAAATATTGAGCATTTCAGTCAAAGTATTTCAGTGAAAAAAATATACATTTTGGACAGTTTTCTTGATTAAATAAAAGCTCTATTGGCTTAAAATCCTCAAAGATGAATAATTTAGTCAAAATTTAATCTAGTAAAAAATTTACATTGAATTAGTTGTGCGAGAAATAGCATCAAAACTAAATCGGTCAAAAAATTTGACGAAATAAAAAATAGGTTTATTTTGTCAAACAAATTGACCGAATAAAATGGTAATAAAATCTGAATATTTCACAACATTAAATATTACTAATTTGATCAATCATTTTGGCCAAACTATAATTGTTGCACAGTTGTGCAATTTCCCGATCACATAGCTTGACCAAACTAATGCGTTTGAGCTGATTTGATTTAAGCATGTTATGGTTCAGCCTTTTCCATATTATTTTGGTTAGTTATGTTGACTGAAATAGCCTGATGTGAAACATGTTGAGATTGATTTGATTGTAGTTGGGGTTCAGCCTTTTAACCTATTTCAGTTAGTTATATTGATCGAAATAAGGGATTGCATTGTTTTTACTTTTGCTAGCCAACTTTTTGACCATATTTTGGTTAGTGTGCTTGACTGAAATACCCAATTGAATCAAATTTGATAGATTTTGCTGTGGGTCCCATGTTTCCTTTACTATTTTGGTTAGTTATTGTGACTAAAATAGGCAAACAATTTCATTTTCCCCTAAACCTTTTCTCCTTCCTTAAACCCCTGTCCCTAGTTTCTTAGTTCTCTTGGCTGCGGTGACACATCACCAGCCGTTGCTACTTGATTTGGCTAATATTCAGGGGTTTTCTTGGGCTTCCATCCCATGTTAACGTATCCAATCTCCTTCTGTCTTGATCTATTGTTCTACTTCACTAATTTGTGCGTATGTTAGTTGAATTTTTTGTTTTTATTTTTTATTCATATAACTTATATTTAATCTATGTTTTATTAACTACATTTTTCTTCATTCTATTAATTTGCTAGTCATAATATTTACATTTTCATTACTATGTTTTTTCACCTTTCTCTATTTATTAACCAATTTTGTTATTTTTTTTTTAGGTTCATCCATTACTTTCAAAGCATTAATTTGACTTTGATTTGGTTGAATTGTAAGTCTCCACTTTTATAAGTATGTTGTATAATTTTTTCCTTTATTTTTATTTTGAAATTTAGTTAGGGAAGAAATTGTTATATTAATTATTGATTAGTAAATTATAATTATATTATTTAATTGATTAGTAAACGATGATTATATTAACTAATTTATTAGTAAATTATGATTATATTATTTAATTAATTGATAAATTATGATTATATGAATTAATTGATTGGTTAATGTTAATTATATTGATTAATTGATTAGTAAATTATAACTACATTGTTATATTCGTTCTTAATTTTAGTTTAGTAAATATGTTTTGCAAATTATCAAATTTGATTTATTATTATTTGTGTGGGGATATGAATAGTTTTAATTAAAATTTAAGGAAATATTTCACATGCTAGGAGATTGATGTTGGATGTATCATTGTTTACATGATGATGGCTATTTTGTTGAAGAATTCAAAACTGGCATGGAGTTCTTTTTGGATTATGCATTTTCACACTCCAATCTAGAATTTTGTAGTAAAAATCATTTTAGGTGTCTGCGTAGAAAATATATGAACCAAGAATGGCATCATCGTGTCATTGTGCAATGTCATTTGATAGAAAAAGGTTTTATGAATTGGTATCTAGTTTGACTTGCACACGAAGAGCAATCAATGCGAAAGCAACAACATCATCAATGGGGGGAATCCTTAAAAGCAACTCCCTTTGTGATGGAAGAATCAGGTAATGATTTAATTAAAGAAATAGTTATAGATGTAATGAGTTTACATGGCATAGAATATAATATGAATGAACAAGCCAGTAAGAACCCAATATTTGAAGAGGCATTGGGAGATGTAAAGGAATTGTTTTATCTTTTACAGGCTATTAACATGTCGCTTTATGATGGATGTGATGAGGATGATACAATATTCAAATGGGTGTTCATTTTATGAATGCAAAGACACCTTATAATATAAGTGTGGTTAATTGGGATTATATGTTAGAGTGCAATAAGAGATGGATTGAACCAAAAGATCGAATAAGATTTCAAAAGATTTTTACAGTGCTAAAAAGATGATGAGGCATTTTAGTCTAGGTTATAAAAAGTACAGTGTTTGTGTAAATAATTGGTTCCTGTATTACATTGAATATGAAAACAAAAATTACATCACATGTCTAATATGTGGTGAACCTCGTTATAAGCAGAGGCATATGTAACAAAATCAACATATACGAAGGAAGTCATTATGATACCTCTCATTTACACCTAGATTGAAGAGATTGTACATGTGCAGAAAAATTACTGAGCATATGACATGGCACCTTAGTTGTGATGGTGAATTTGAAAAGATTGTTCTTCCCACCAATGGTGAGGCATGGAAACACTTTGATCATACTTACCTTGACTTTGGGTTAGATTTGAGGAATGTAAGGCTTGGATTGTGCAAAGATAGGTTGTAACACCCCACATACCTTAGTGAATAATTTAAAAATTAGTTTCCTTTAGTTTATAGTTTTAGGGATTAAATTGATTGAATTTAAAGTTTGGGGGTTTTAAGTAGAATTTAGTAGAAGTTGAATGACCCTAACTCAATTACCCCAAATTTGCTTACCACATGGCATTATCCCAACCAAGTTTTCTTTTCCTTGTCGGTTGGGACTTGGATAAGCCTCTAGAAGGCTCCCCAAAGCCCCATGTTGTTTTCTTGCATCTTCCAGCCATCCATTGCATCCTTTTCTTCCTTCTTTCTCTAGCCAAGGTTAAGGTGTTTTTTTTAGGTAAGTATAAGTTTTAGTTATGAATTTAGGGTTAGAGTTTTGAGTAATTTAAATTGGTGAGATTTGACTCTAATCCTTTGGTTTATAAGATTTTTGGGTATTAGGATTTTGTTAAAAACAAGTCAATTTTTGGGGTTTATATGAGAAAGACAATGAATTATTCCTTTATATGTTTGATTTGGTGTGAATTTTTACTTGCTGGAATTATAACTAAATTGCACTGTTCATGATTATTGTTTATAAATATTGTTCATGATTACTGTTCATGTCTACTGTTTATGGATTACTGTTCACACACTAATTACCATTTATGTAGTGCACTTCAATTTCTTTCAATATGAAGTTCGATAGAATATGTGAGTTGTGTATGTGGATATTAGTATGAACTTGAATTGTCCGTGCGACTGATCAATGGGGACATTAAATGAGATAATATCGTAATAGTATTTTGGACATATTTTGAATTTGTTTGACATGCGTATGTGTTTGTGGTTATGGAATAAGTGGACCTAAGCTTAAAGTTTTGGGTATTTAGTGGACCCTTCGGGGTATTTAGTGGACCTCGTGCAGTAGGGTTAGTATTGTGATTAGCTCCAGTACAGTATTGCTAGCACACTTCAGTGGACTCCATAGTATTATGTGATTTTCGGTTTTATGCATTGCGCTTGTGACATCGTATTTGTGAGCATATGATTTTAGTATATGAATTCAATGTAAATGTCATTAATTATTTCTTGACATGTGTGCTTATAATTTGAGATATTAAGTTATTATTTAAATAGTGAGAATTATAATATTATGTGATTTGATTCCGTTGTGTTTTATGCTCTTTGTGTGGATAGGTCTAAGGATTTTAGGACCTAAGTTTATAGTTTAAACTTATTACTTATTGGGTTGTTAGCTCATAAAATCCTCCCCCCATTTCAGATTAGTAGATCGAGGTAGTAGTCTCTCGGTTTAGGAGCTTTTGGCACGAGACTCGCATGCTCGTTGTATGTACAAGTTAGGGCCTTATGTTTTTGATAGAGAGGTAGATCGATGTGTTACCAAAACAATGACTTAGTTTTTATTTTTTTGAAAAGTTTTGGAGAGGAATTTGCCTCATATAATTTTCGTGTAAATTACCTTTATATATAAAATCTTTAAATTAATTATAAATGAGCTTAGTTCAGCTTATTTTATAACTTTGAATATTTTGACATTTTTCCAATATATATTGACTTGTTAAAGTGGTTTTCCTTTATAGGTATCTATAATCTTCTCTTTGTAAAATGTAAATTGATTTTTTTTTAATACAAGCTTTCTTTTGAAGAAACATTTTATATTAGAAGTGTTTTTACTTTCGCTACAATTCTTTACTATAAATTTTATTTTCGAACTCTCCAATGACTAAAAGTGCTTAGGGAGGTGTGTTATATTTTTGGTATCATAGCCAAGATTTTGCTGATATATTGATCTGCCATATGAGTTAGAGTCTAGTGTCATAGAATTAGACTTTGCCTAACTATTAGTTTTGCACTCTTTGTTTGTACCAGTATCAGAGAAGAAAGATGAGTCAAGGAGACAATACTTTTACTCCTCCTCCTGCTGATGATGTGAATGCCCGAATGGACATAATGCAAAAGGTCATTACGGATATGAGTTCCATCTTTAGGGATTATCTTCAACATCAGAACAACAATAATGCCCCACAAAACACTGGTGGCAATTCACAACAAACAATGGACTCTAGGGAAGGAAATGAGCAGTTGACATTGGTGAAGCAATTTCAGAACATGAACTTGCCTAGCTTCAAGGGAGTTCCTAATCCCTATGTAGCTGAGTCTTGGGTTAAGAAATTAGAAAAGATGTTCAAGCTCTTGATATGTACTGACAGGCAAAAAGTGGAGTTGGCAATGTTCACATTTGAAGGTGAAGCAGATGATTGGTGGATAGCTGCTCAAGATGGGTTTTCTAAGAGAGGGGAGGAGGTTACATGGGACAAGTTTGTTTAGGACTTTTATCGAAAATATGTTTCTGCAGCTGTGTTGGAAAGAAAGGAGCGGGAGTTCATGAATTTGAAGCAAGATGACATGACAGTTGATGAGTATCAAATTAAATTCAGTTATCTTATGAAGTTTGCTCCTCACGTTGTTAATGATGAAGTTAAGAAGACAAGGAAGTTTCAAAGAGGGTTGAAAGCTTCCATTAGGAACAAGGTGGTTCCTGAAATGCTAAAGACTTATGATGAGGTCTTGGCCATGGCTCAAATAATTGAGCAAGATATGGAGGAGCAAAAAATGGAGACTCATGACTCAAAAGGCAAGGGAAAGGCTATCAACAACCAGCCTTTCAACAAGAAGCCTGAGCAAAGGAGAAAAAGGAAGATCCTCGAAAGCAACAGACCAAGTTTTGATTTTTGTAAGAGGTGCGGTAAGAACCATGGGGGAAAAGAATGTTATTGGCAAACTAGAGCATGTTTCAAGTGTGGAAAGACTGGCCACTTGATCAAGGATTGCTCGATTCTCAAGGGAGCAAGTCAACAGCCAAAGGATCAAAACAATAAGAAGCCCAAGGTTCAACGAAAAGTTTTTGCCATCCCAGAACAACAAGCTCAAAACACTCCTATAGTTATAAAAGCTAACATACCTATCTCTTTTGGGAATGCCCATGTGTTGATTGACTATGGATCTACCCACTCATTTGTGTCATCTAAGTATGTGCCATTTTTGCATGTGGAGCCTGAGACCCTTGATTGTGTGCTTGTGGTGAATACTCTTTCTAAGGAGGTTTTAACATCAAAAACCATTTATAGATCCTGTAGAGTTATGGTAGAGGGTAGAGTTTTGCTTGTCGATCTTATTTTGTTAGGAATAATGGAATTTGATGTCATACTTGGTATGGATTAGTTGTCTACCTATTATGCCATGGTTGATTGTTATGAGAAGGTGGTTACTTTTTCTGCTCCTAACCAGCATGTGATTCGATTTGAAGGAGAAAAAGTTGGATCATTTCCATTACTTATTTCTTGCATGCAAGCTAATAAAATGTTGTAGTATGAGTGTTATGGATATTTGGCATATGTTTTTGAGTCTGAAGACAAGTCGGTGTCTGCAGAAGGAATTTAGGTAGTGGAAGACTTCCCTGATGTTTTTCCTAAAGAGTTGCTGGGTTACCTCTAGATAGGGAGATTGAATTTACTACAGACCTTGTGCCTGGTATTGCACCAATATCCCAACAACCTTATAGAATGGCCCCAGCAGAACTAATTGAATTGAAAAAGCAATTGCAAGAGCTTCTTGATAAGGGGTTTATTAGACTCAGTACTTTTCCCTAGGGTGCTCCAGTTCTTTTTGTGAAAATGAAAGATGGCTCACTTAGATTGTGCATTGATTATAGACGGTTGAATCAAGTCACCATAAAAAACAAATATCCTTTGCCAAGGATTGATGATTTGTTTGATCAGTTACAAGGGGCTCGTGTCTTTTCTAAAATTGATCTTAGATTAGGTTATTATCAACTAAAGGTTAAACTCGATGATGTGATGAAGACTGCTTTTAGGAGTAGATATGGATACTACGAGTTCTTAGTAATGTCGTTTGGTCTAACCAATGCCCCTGCAGTTTTTATGGATCTTATGAATAAGATCTTTCAACTGTACTTAGATAAGTTTGTCATTGTTTTCATTGATGACATTCTTATCTTTTCTCCTAATGAAGAGAGCCATAAGGAGCATCTTGCCATTGTATTGCAGATTTTGCGAGAAAAGAAGTTGTATGCCAAGTTTGATAAGTGTGAGTTTTGGTTGAATCAAATTAGCTTTCTAGGTCATATTGTTTCGAAGGATGGCATATCAGTTGATCCTAGTAAAGTGGAAGCAGTTGTAAAGTGGGAAAGGCCAACTACTGTCACATAAGTGCGGAGTTTTCTTGGACTAGCAGGATATCATAGAAGGTATGTGGAGGGATATTCAAAGATTGCTAGTCCATTAACACAACTTACTCGTAAGAATTAGAAGTTTGAATGGATAGATAAATGTGAGCAAAGCTTTCAAGAGTTGAAGAATAGATTGGTCACAGCACCAATTCTTACTATTCCCGACAATGGAGGAAACTTTGTGGTATATACCGATGCTTCTCATAAAGGCTTGGGTTGTGTACTTATACAACATGGACAGGTGATAGCTTATGGGTCCAGACAGCTCAAGACGCATGAGAGGAATTACCCTACACATGATTTAGAACTTGCGGCCATAATTTTTGCACTTAAGTTGTGGAGGCATTATTTGTATGGAGAAGAGTTTGAGGTGCACACTGATCACCAAAGCTTGAAATATTTATTTTCACAAAAAGAGCTTAACTTGAGACAAAGAAGATGGGTGGAGTATTTGAATAACTATAAATGCAAAATTGTCTATCAACCCGGAAAAGGAAATGTGGTTGCAGATGCACTTAGTAGAAAATCAACTAGCAACTTAGCAAGCTTAATGGTGATGGAGTGGAAACTCTTAGAAGAATTCAAAGACTTGAATGTCAAATTTGTGCCACCAAAATTTGATGTACTAGTGTCTAGTTTGATGGTTCAACCTACACTATTGTCAAATATCAAGGAAGCACAACAGAAAGATTCAAGATTGATGGAGTGGATGAAGGATAGTGGAAAAAGCTTTGAAACGGGTCTTCATATTTCGGATGATGGAATCATAAGACTTGGAGATAGAATTTGTGTTCCATATGATGAAGAGTTAAGGACGAAATTACTCCAAGAAGCACACAAGTCCAATTATACCATTCATCCTAGGAGTACCAAAATGTATCAGGACTTGAAAAAGACATTATGGTGGAAAAGCATGAAGAAAGATGTGGCTAAATATGTGTCTAAGTGCTTGACTTGTCAAGTGGTAAAAACAAGGCACTAGAAGCTAGAAGGGCAACTTCAACCTTTGCCTATACCGGAGTGGAAGTGGGAAGCCATCTCAATGGACTTAATTGTGGGATTGTTGAAGACGAGAAGGCAATTTGATGCAATTTGGGTGATTGTGGATAGACTGACAAAGTCAACTCACTTTTTGGTCCTAAAACAAAAAGACCCATTGGACAAGTTGGCCAAGCTTTATGTTTAAGAGATTGTTAGACTCCATAGAGTCCCAGTGAGCATTGTATCAGACAGGGATCTAAGGTTTACTGCAAGATTTTGGAGATCTTTTGAGGACATGCTAAGAGCTTGTGCATTAGATTTGTCTGAGAGTTGGGATGATCGTCTTTCATTGGCAGAGTTTACTTATAATAATAGTTATCATTCCAGTATCAAAATGGCACCTTATGAGGTTCTTTATGGCAGGAGATGTAGAACTCCAATTTGTTGGGCAGAAGTTGGTTATGGAAGGGTAATGGGGCCTTATTTTGTGCAGCAAACAATAGAAAAGGTGAAATTAATTCAGCAGAGGCTTAAAGTGGCTCAAGACAGACAAAAGAGTTATGTAGACAATAGAAGGAGACATTTGGAATTTGAAGTTGGAGATTATGTATTTTTTAAGGTGTCACCAACTAAGGGAGTGTATCGGTTTGGCTTGAAAGGAAAACTCAGTCCGAGGGACATTGGCCTGTTTGAGATTCTTTAAAGGGTAGGTAAAGTGGCTTATAGAATTGCATTGCCTCCAGAATTGTCAAATGTGCATAATGTATTTCATGTGTCGATTTTGAGGAAGTATGAGCTAGATCCTTCACATATCATAAACTATGAACCATTATAGTTGAAGGAAGATTTGAGTTACACCAAAAAGCCAGTACCAATTTTGAATATGAAAGAAAAAGTTTTGAGGAACAAGACTGTGCCTTTGGTAAAAGTGTTGCGGCAGCATCATAATGAGAATGAAGCTACATAGAAGCTTGAAAGTCAGATGAGGGGGCAATATCCAAATCTATTTTGGTAAGCTAAATGATTTGGTGGGCCAAATCCTTTTAAGGTGGGGAAGATGTAATACCCCACATACCTTAGTGAATAATTTAAAAATTAGTGTCCTTTATTTTATAGTTTTAGGGATTAAATTGATTGAATTTAAAGTTTGGGGGTTTTAAGTAAAATTTAGTAGAAGTTGAATGGCCTTGACTCAATTACCCCAATTTTGCTTACCACATGGCATTATCCCAACCAAGTTTTTTTTTCCTTGTCAGTTGGGACTTGGATAAGCCTCCAGAAGGCTCCCAAAAGCCCCATTTTGTTTTCCTTCATCTTCCAGCCGTCCCTTGCATCCTTTTCTTCCTTCTTTTTCCAACCAAGGTTATGGTGTTTTTTTTAGGTAAGTAGAAGTTTAGGTTATGAATTTGGGGTTAGAGTTTTGGGTAGTTTAAATTGGTGAGATTTGACTCTAATCTTTTGGTTTATAAGATTTTTGGGTATTAGGATTTTATTAAAAACATGTCAATTTTTGGGGTTTATATGGGAAAGACAATGAATTATTCCTTTATATGTTTGATTTGGTGTGAATTTTTACTTGTTGGAATTATAAGTAAATTGTACTGTTCATGATTACTGTTCACTTAATTACTATTCATGCACTAATTACCATTTATGCAGTGCACTTCAATTTTTTTCAATATGAAGTTCTATAGAATATGTGAGTTGTGTATGTGGATATTAGTATGAACTTGAATTGTCCATGTGACTGATCAATGAGGACATTAAATGGGATAATATCGTAATAGTATTTTGGACATATTCTGAATTTGTTTGACATATGTATGTGTTTGTGGCTATGGAATAAGTGGACCTAAACTTTAAAGCTTGGGGTATTCAATGGATCCTTTGGGATATTTAGTGGACCTCTGTACAGTAGGGTTAGTACTGTGATTAGCTCCAGTACAGTGTTGCTAGCACACCTCAGTGGACTCCATAGCATTGTGTGATTTTCAGTTTTATGCATTGTGCTTGTGACATCGTATTTGTGAGCATATGATTTTAGTATATGAATTCAATTTAAATGTCATTGATTATTCCTTGACATGTGTGCTTATGATTTGAGATATTAAGTTATTATTTAAATAGTGAGAATTATAATATTATGTCATTTAATTTCGTTGTGTCTTATGCTCTTTGTGTGGATAGGTCTAAGGGTTTTAGAACCCAAGTTTATAGCTTAAACTTATTATTTACTGGGCTATTAGCTCATAAAATCCCCCCCATTTCAGATTAGTAGATCGAGGTAGCAATCTCTCGGTTTAGGAGCTTTTGGCACGGGACTTGCATGCTCGTTGTATGTACAAGCTAGAATCTCGTGTTTTCGATAGGGAGGTAGATCGATGTGTTACCAAAATAATGACTCAACTTTTGTTCTTTTGAAAAGTTTTGGAGAGGAATTTGCCTCATATAATTTTTGTGTAAATTACTTTTATGTATAAAATCTTTAAATTAATTATAAATGAGCTTAGCTCAGTTTATTTTATAACTTTGAATATTTTGACATTTTTCCAATATATATATCGATTTGTTAAAGTGGTTTTCTTTTACAGGTATTTATAATCTTCTCTTTTCAAAATGTAAATTGATTTTTTTAAATACAAGCTTTGTTTTGAAGAAACATTTTATATTAAAAGTGTTTTTACTTCTGTTGCAATTTTTTACTATAAATTTTATTTTGAAACTCTCCTAGGACTAAAAGTGCTTAGGGAGGTGTGTTATATAGGTTCTCTCCATTTGGACATACATCAGCCCTATATTCAATTTCCACTCGTCTTGGACATGCACTCCCATAAGATGGCTTTTTTCATAATTTATCTTCAATCTCGGGACTTACTCGAAAGTTCTCAATATACATTTTGCTGCCCAATTGTTGCATTCTGATGCATGCCTGAACAACATTGTATCTTTAGCAAACTGATTATGTGAGAAGCAAACACTGTTACTTCCAACCTCCACTCCCTGGAACTGACCTCTATCAACAGCCAAGGAGATTAATCAATTAAGTCCTTCCACTACAATCAAAAATAAAAAAAGAGATTAGGGGTCTTCTTGCATTAGACCATGACTGATTCCAAATTGTCTAGAGGGTTTCCCATTAACTAGCATTGAGAACAAATTAGTTTGAAGACATTCTCGTATCCAACCTCTCCAAGTCTCACCATATGCCATTCTTAATTGCATATGGTCTAGAAAACGCCAACACACCTTATCGTATGCCTTTTCAAAATCAATCTTAAGAAAGAAACTTTCTCTTTTCATCCTCTTTGCTACATCAATAATCTCATTTGCCATAAAAACAACATCACAAAGTTGTCTTCCTTTGATAAAAGCCATTTGATGTCCTCGGATAATTTTTGATATCACCAAATTGAGTCTATTAGCTAGAAACTTTGCTAAGAGACAATTTTAAGGATAATTAAGTCATGAAGTACCTGTAATAATGTCAGTCCATTTTTTGCTTCTTTCCTATAATCCATCTCCTGCATTCAATGTGATTTACTTGTGTTCAATATGAAGTACTAAGAATATTGAAAGGGGGTGGTAACTTATGACCAAGACTAAAATGCACAACTTCTCTCACTAAAATGGACTATAACAATGGAGTTGTAAAGAGAGATGGGCATTAAACAATTATAGTAAGATTTAACAATACAAAAAGGAAGTAAAAATGTAATATCTAAGAATCTAGAATTAGTGACTAGAAAAGTTTCCATGTACATAAGCACCATCTAAAACATCTGTCATAAATTATACAGCCCAAGTGTAGGCACAAACACAACATTATAAATTTTCAACTAGTTGAGTATTTTCAGTTATCTTATTTTGAATAGTCATTCTGAATTTAAAATATAAGTTTCAGTTGAGATAGGAGGGTTGGTATACTATCATGTCATTTATCTTCTAATAGTTGGAGCATATAAATGTTAGAGATATCATTAACTTTACCCGGAAAAGACTTGATGCCCACTCATCAAGAACCGCCTGAAAGTTGGAGGACATGCTTTGTGTTAGTATCAGTAAGTGAAAACGGAACAGATTCAAGAAGAAAAAGGTTCAACTGAACTCCCAATAACACATTTCTTACTTACCTGAAGATCAGTATTAAATTTACCAGCTCTCTTAATCAACCCTGCTAGAAAGCGCAAGATCAATATGTCTAAGGAAATTGCAGCCCTAACTCCAGGCCTCTGTACTTTGACAGCAACAACTTGACCACTGCGACGAAGCCTGGCTTGATAGACCTACTTGGCAGAGAAAGAGTACTAAGCTTTAAATTTTGAGTTAGGCTTTAACCAACTCTTGAGAATAGTTAAATAGAAGAGTCTCCAACCAAATACAGACCTGACCAAGGGATGCTGCTGCAATTGGCTCTGGCGAAATCTCTGAGAAAAGCTGATCTATTGGTAATCCAAGCTCTTGTTCGATGGTATTCAATGCAACTTCAGTTGAAAATGGAGTTATTCGGTCTTGCAACAACGAAAGCTCATCCAAGTATGATGGTGGTATCAAATCCTACAGCCATGGCCAATCTAGTTTTCACATAAGCTCAATTCATTCGTTTCAAGATTCAAACCTAATTAAATAAAATTGCCTAAATGATGGAGCCCATTTCTAATGCTGACCAAATGTTACAATGAAGAAATGGAACAGTAAAATGGAATTAAGCAAGTCATGCTTGTTGTTGCCTAAATGATATGTCAACTTACAGGTCTAGAGGAAACAGCTTGAGCAATTTTAACGTATGCCTACAGCACAAAAAGAAAAGAAACAGAAGTAATTAAGCAACAAAAAGAATAAATAAACCACAAACATATTAAAAGAAAAAAAAATGGAAGAGTCTTACCGGACCAAGTTCTACCAATATTTTCCGAAGCTCCGCAGCTCTAATGTGTAAGTCAAGCAAAGAGAATATCAATCACCATTGCAGAGTGTTAAGAGAAAACAAATTCCTTACGAAATCAATATCAATCCAAACCTCGAACATCTGACCGGAGCGATCCATGACAGTATCGACGTACCGATCGCCGAACCATTTCCCGAAAGTCAGACCGATTTGGAGAAGGCGGCGCAGCAGAATCAGAGGCTTCCTCTTGTAAATTGAGGTTATCCTGGAAACGCTGTAATCAGTCAACAAGTCGGCCTCGGAAGCACTCAGATCAAAAACGTATCCTGATTTCTCAGTGAAAGTGTCGATGAAGTCGCCACCGCGAGCAGCGAGGCGTGTGGTGGCGCGTGGAATGGATTTTGGAGGGAAGCTGAGCCTGGGATTGGTGGAGAAGGGAAGAGGAGTGACATTTTAGTTTTGTTGTGAGGAAAACCAAATTCGAAAGCGGAAGGATTTGATTGCCGTTTTTTCTTTTTGGTGGTGAGAGAGTAGCGGTTGAGTATGGAAACGATTTCAGCTATCGTGGAGTTTGTGAAAACGGGAGGAGGGAGAGGTGTGCAAGGCAACGTCTCACCTCTCTAGTGGCTCGTGTTTTATCCGTTCTTTTTCTTCTGCCGTTGTTTTCTTTTATCCAGCCAAATTAATTTGTACGTATACGAGCTTCTTTTCTTTTCTTATTTCTTTTTTTAAAATTTTTTAATAATAATAAATGAGACGTAACGTTAAAATTTGATATTAATAATTATTTAATGGTTATTTTGTTTTATTTTTTTGACTCATAATATTATATATTTATTAATTTAATAACATTTATTACATTTTCGTTTTAATTTTTCATCATCTTATTATTATTTTTTTATAAGTTAAATGGTGAGTTATATAATAAAAATAAAAATTTTTATATTTTATATTTTAAAATTTAATTTTAAAAATTTTTATATAAAATTTTAATTTTTTAATTATTAAGATTTTTTTTTATAAGAGATTGTTGTATAAGACTATGAATTATGTTAAATATGAGTATATAAGTAATGGTATGCATATAATTGTATTTTTTTATATAATTTTTACTTATTATTATTAAATAAATGAATATATAATATTATAAATTATAATAAAAATAATTAATTATTAAATAATATCTCAAATTAT